GTACTGGTGACCCAGTTTTCCTGAATAACTTCCATTTCCTATTTTTCTTCTTAAATTGCCTGTTGAGGTCTTTCATCAACCAGGCAGGGCGACTAGTCGTCTTGTGTGCCTTCACCGGACAAAAGCGCCTAATCAGATCTAATGCAATCCTCTTGAGTGTTTGGTGGCCGGTATATGGCCAAGAATTCCAAGTTCTGTGAATTTGCTTTCTTTATCTTTAACCAGACGGACTCACACTCCAGGGCTAGAGTGTGTTCTCTTTCGACAACAGAGATCCCAATCATTCAATAAATTCTCATCGGGCCCGGTAAATTACGATGGGAACTGGATAAAAGTAAAAAATGTGGTATATAATGTTCGTCTTCTCATAAAAGTAAATCGTGTAATAGAGAGGTAAGGTTCTATAAGTGAAGACTGGTTATGCGGCGGAAGGACTTGGGGGAGCAGGTATGAAGGGAAAGAGGGAGGAAACGATCGCTAACGGCATGCACTCTTTCGAACTCCCTCCTGCTCTTCATCAATTCCCTGGACAGAGTCCACCAAACCCTCCTCGACGCGTAGCCAGTCTTGTCTTCTTGGCCCATACCCTCTATTCAAACGAATTAATTGTATGGCAAGACGAACAGAGTTGAGCGGACTTTTAACTTGGATCCCGTTCTCATAAAAAGTACGCATGCTTGCTAACTGCTCTTCTAAAAGGAAAATTCCTCATCAGGCATAGATTCCACTATCCACCACAGTCAACCATCTGAATTATGTAATTAACGTAAGCTCGGTTGCATATCAAATACCGCCCAATCGGCATGGACTCTGTGTTTTTTAAGCGAAATAAAGCGCTGGGAAGAGGTTTATCATCAAACATAAAATTGCCCATTCCAATCACAATCCAAACAAAGAGAAGACACAAGATTGGTTTGTCTATTTTTGCCAGAGAAGCCGAGAACGCATCGACCTCGCTTAAACATAGGATTTATTTTCAGCGATAGATACCATGAAGTATGAGTTATTTACGACAAGTATCCATAGGCAGGAGCTTCAAGAGCGCCTCAAAAGACGGCAAGGCCTCTAGTGAGTATAAGAACTCGACAAATTATTATTTTTTCACGCAGTGGTATTGAACTCCGGAAGAGGTCATCTCAAGTAACCATCATATGTTCCAAATATAAAGTAAGTCAGAGGCATTTACAGCGTCCGTAGAAGTCTAAGAGTCTTGACATGCTTTAGACTAGTACAGATTGCGGAAATATCTACCTACTAAGTAGGTAGCATAAAATATCCAGCATACTGATTGCTTAAAAAAGTTCTAGATGGTTTTGAGATCACCGTTTAATATAAACAATTTGTGTTCTTTCATTATTCCCATGTTGGATTTGTGTTAAGACGACGTTTCTTCTTTTTGCCTCTAATTTTGTATATTAGACAACTTTTAATGGTACAATTTCAATGGTGTAGCTGTTAAGGCCTGTATTCCCGACAGTCCGTTTCTGCTTTACGTTTGTCATCATTTGAAGGTGGTCCACATTTAGCATTCTTGTCATAACATTGTAAGCCAGGAAATGTTGCCTGTCTGAAAGCTGTCCTGTCCCGTGTCAATATTTTTCGAGTTGCACTGCATATTCGAGAGTGTACGTTGCTTTCCATAGCTGTGCGATTATTGGTTGGAAATTGAAACACTGTTTTCTCGGAAAAAAATATAGAACGTCAATAAATCCTGCTCATCTCGTGATCTTTATCAATAAGGTGTCGGACAAATGCACAGTAGCCTCTACTCTCCGGATATAGTTGATGCTTTTCTTATAACTGGTTGATTTAGCGATTTTTAGTTGAATATCACATAGTTTTTATGATATCTTTAAAATTGTTAGGTGAATGCACAAAAACTCCGTGGATCAAAATTATATGAATAATTGAATTCCTAACTCAGAACGTTTACTGCGTTAGATTAGTGGCGCTACACTTAAATTCCTGCTGACGAGCAGCTTCGTCGAAATGCTTGATTTTTTTGTCGTCTTATCCCGGGGCGGGATCGTGCTATGGTACATAAACAATACCAAAGAAATTGTAAGAACTTCTATAAATACGTTTCTGAGGTCCCTTATCTTGAAGGTAAGCGAACAGGGACCTGAAGAATTATATATTTTAGGAAACCACTGTCAATGCTGCTTTCGAACATGACAGTTTTGCACTCAAACATTTTATGGACAACGAATTCGATCTCATATTTATTGTAGGAAAATTTCAAACTGTTCTTTAACCAATGAAATTTGTAGGCAGGATATCAAAAAGTCTTACAACTAAGTTATGTCGACAAATTCCTCACATCAATAGCACTAAAATTTCGAGATAGATACAAAAACGAACTTTTGGAAAAGAATTACTATGGATATTTTGAAGACTTTGGGTCGTCTTTTGATACCATCCTCAAGACGGTTGAGAGTGAGTCGCGTGCGCAACAAAAGGCTCCAAGGTAAAAAATCAGCTTTTTTTTCTTACTGCTTGACAAAAGGCAAATGCGGTCTTTTGCTAGTTCCGAAAAGTCAAAAAAGACTGTTGCATCGATGATAATTAATAAAGACGAGCCCGTGGTTGTCCCTGCAACCGAAAAGAAGCCCGAAATAAGCAAATCCAAACCGTCTATCGACCAACTGAAGTCGGATTTGGGCATAGGTACGGATATTCTGCGCGCCTATCGGGATGAAAAGCTGTTGTTCTATTTCTCTTACCTTAAATCGCATTGACAATTCATTCTATTCAATTTTTCTATCCTTTTGTTGGACTGTATTGTGTTTTGTCCAGACCCACCTCTTAAGAAGCCAGACCGTGCTTCACCGAGGGCAACCGTTGCTGCGAAAATGACAAAGATAAGCAAAAAGGCCAAGGAAAAATCAAGGTGGGTATTCGCATGTTTTTGCTTGTTGGTTGTTGATAACAGATCTTGTCTATAGGTCGCGTTAATAGCACAGTACAGTGCGATTCTTCGCAAATGTTTCTTTTATTTGTTCCACAATTGGTTTTTATTGCTGACATATTGATATTTTCGTTGAAAATCAAAAGCTTCTGCAACAATGCGTTCCGGTAACACCAACCGATACATTTTCTTGATCGGTGTTTTATTTTAAAAATAATTCTGGTTTTTGAACAGCGTCAAATTATTTCTAACGTGTCGTCAGAGCATTTGTATCATTTTCATAAGAGGTGTAGTTTTTAGTACTTAAGTGTGTAGTTTGACCTAGGAATACATCACAGTAGTTTTATGACGTTTACATCCTCTTAAGTACTCGCGAACTGAATGTATCCAGCAAAAATTATAGTTCTTCAGGTATAACCGTGCTGTTTTTCCTCTCTTCATACGAGTAAAATATTTGTTATTCTGTCTGTTTGTGAATTTTTAAGTAGCATGGAGCTGTGAAAGAGACGCCGCGCTCTGGTGTCTAAATTCTTTTTAGTGTGTGGTGGCTTATGCATAGCTTCGAATTATTAGACAATATTGGACACATGGTTTTTCCTCCCTGCCGAATATGCAAATAGGTAAAATGCGCAATTTTTAAACTTATCATAGACGAATGCCTGTGATGCTTAAAATTTGATAATGATCCATATTCACTTCAATCTCGAGCTACCAATGCTAAAAATACGTTTTTCTTATCCTTCATAGTCCCACTGAGTCTCCGTCTTCTGCAAAACCTGGGAAGCGTGTAAAAGAGTTGAGGCGTTGGGACAATACGGCTACCGGAGCCGAAGCAGCTGCTCTTGATTACAGCGCCACAAAAGCGAATGGGAATTCTACGGCCTCTGGAAATGGCGCCTCTGCTGACAATGGAAATATGCCTGCAGGACTCGCACTTTCAGCCAGTGAGGCAAAGAACTTGGCTAGTCTTCGTGGCACCCTGCAAGAAGGTTTCGACGAACTTGAAGT